AAATTACTAGTTATTTTTGGTGTAGTTCATCAGGAGAGCAAAATGATTGTTGTGGTTTAGGAACATACCCAACATGTCAAAGTAATTCAGCATTGCGTACATGTCACTGTGGATGTGAGCTTAGTTGTTCAGAAGCATTAACCAATAATTATTTAAATACAAGATGTGCTGCAACTATTGTTAGAACACAGGGCTATACAGCGTGGGTAGGATATAATTCAAATCAAGCTGAATGCAATTCATACGATATATTTAATGGTGGATGCTCGTATGGAAGTTGTTGTTCAGATTTATATCCTGGCTCTGTTTGCTGTCCAGTACCTAATCCAAATAAACAAGGATGTTGTCCTTCTACACATACAATCTGTTGTCCGGCACCTTATCTAGATGATTGTTGTTCTACAGAATATCCTGTATGTTGTGGTACCGGTTGTTGTCCAGCAGGAACATACTGCTGTGGAAATAACCAATGTTGTCGACAAATAAATAGTCATGGTAAAACATCAAACCAAGTTATAGCAAATGCTACATTGAATGTTAAACATTTAACTTAAATTTTTTAAATGAATATTAATCAAGAATTATGAACCTTCTGTAAATTTTGAGAGTGACTCTGTGTTTTCGAGTATATTCAAAATAAAATCCTTCCAACTCCAATTTTGGTACTATTGTATTTTAATCATACCTTCACTCGCATGCAATTTTTGTTACTGTGTGTGATAATTCGTGTGAGAGTAAGATCAAATACGGATGGGCACTGCATCCTAACTAAGTTTGTGTTTTTTGATTGATTGATCAAAGATGACATAAGATTCAGAAACAAATCATGTGAAGCCATGTGATCATATTCGAGATGTCGTCTCACTGGCATATGGCTAAAATGATTCTCTTATCTGAAGCGAAATCTAAAATTGTCCGTGTTGATGAAACTAGGCCTATTTCATTATTACCATGCTCCTCGAAACTTTTTGAGAAATGCTTTCTTATTCATCTGCGCAAATGGATCAATGATCAAGGCTTACTACCCGATGAAGAAAGCGGCTATAGACCAGGTCATAACATGGCGGTTCG